CTCTCCTTGTAGCGTATACCCCTCATTACTAGTGTTATTCTCGTTGTGAACCTTAAGATCTGTTTTAATTTCTTTGCTTGATCAGATGGGAACTCCATGTTGGTGCTGTATACTGAGATAGGCCTAATGTGCGTTGTATGTGATGTCCTCAATGAATCTACGTCCAGGTTCGTGAAAGCAGCTCTAAGGTTATCTAGTTTGGCATATCCATCTGAAGTTATACGATTTATGTATTTCTAGTGATATGTTAGGTGCAGAGCTTACTCATAGATCTTTCTCCCTGTACATTATCTGCGGATTCTGTCCTCTAAGGATGTATGTGTCTAGGTTTCTCAACCCCCCCCCCCTCCTCTCCTGTTTTGACTAGTTTTGACATACGTCGAATGTCTTCCAAACCTTCTCTCCTTTGTTTCTGTAACTGTCATACAACTTTAGGAGATTCGTGAGACTAGATTTGGGTTTTCTGACCCATATTCTGATTGTTACCTATAAATCTATTTCTTTTAACCTCGAAGTGCTTTGACAGATATATGGGCAAGCAGCAGCCGACAACAACAAAGACCTGTTAGGTAAGACATATGCAACAGTTAGGTATCTTTATTTCGAAACGTTTCGCCTACACAGTAGGCTTCTTCAGTCGAATACAGAAAAGTTGATAGAAGCAGAAGAGACTTGAAGACGATGTAATCAGTCCATCACCCTTAAAGTTTTGAGGTGGTCAGTCCCTCAGTCTGGAGAAGAGCATTGTTCCAAAGTTTGAAACAATATGGAGTTGAAGTGACAGGATGGAGCCTTATATAGCGCCAGGAGGTGAGACGTAGGTCACTAGTAGAACGCAGATGTTGGAAGGTCAGGTCCCTCTCAAATCCAGCCGTTCTCACTAGTAGAGGTAGTCGAAGTTGATTTCAGGTCTGTACCAAGATACCCTTGTGTTGCAGTGTCTGACAGATTGAACATTAAAGTGGTATAAAATACCACTGAGGCTTCTTCAGTCGAGTACAGAAAAGTTGATAGAAGCAGAAGAGACTTGAAGACGATGTAATCAGTTCTCACCTCCTGGCGCTATATAAGGCTCCATCCTGTCACTTCAACTCCATATTGTTTCATACTATGGAACAATGCTCTTCTCCAGACTGAGGGACTGACCACCTCAAAACTTTAAGGGTGATGGACTGATTACATCGTCTTCAAGTCTCTTCTGCTTCTATCAACTTTTCTGTACTCGACTGAAGAAGCCTACTGTGTAGGCGAAACGTTTCGAAATAAAGATACCTAACTGTTGCATATGTGTCTTACCTAACAATCTGTCGGTATTTTATACCATTTTAATGTTCAACAAAGACCTGGTTGATCAGGCAGTCAACAGATAAGCCTGGTCCCAGGCTTGAGTAGGCTTGAGTAGGAAGACTAGAAATATATCTGAGTTTCAAGTGTTTTTCTACTCCAGGAGCCCGGCTATGGGCCAGGCACGTCTGGTGTTTGCCTGGTCAAACAGGCTGTTGCTGTTGGAGGCCCGCTGCCCCACATATCCATCACAGCCTCGATGATCTGACACCTTGTGAAGATTATTATAATAATGTAATCATGGGGGAGCGCTAAACCAGTAGGATTATAAGCGCATGGAGGTGGGGGCAGGATGGAAGGTTTACTGACATCTTATTTATTTAATTTCAAGCTGGTTGATCGGAGGCCACAGATCCAATGCCCTGGTCAATGAGCCCCTCACCAGAGTAGGAAACCTACCCTTGAGGGGATCTGGTGAAGATACTTGTCAGTTTCTACTCCGAGATTTCTACACTTGTTCCAGGCAGTGTCTGGTAATTGCTGGTCAAATGGTGATATGTTTGGGGCCAAGATGTTATACAGTTTCCTTGATGTACTCACACTCCTGTGGTTATGTTTATATTTGCATGCCTCGCAATCTCTCATTCCAGTATGTTATGGCAGTGGGCAGGATTTGTGACAAGGGTCGGTCAGGACTTCAGGATATATTATCTGCATCTCATCCTCTTGCAGTGAGATATTCAGGAGACTTAAAGCGTCCAATTACTCCTCCGTTGTCAGCGCCTCGTGACGCCAGATAACTCACTACCTTCCCTTGCTCAGCGCCTCGGTGACGCAGATAACTCGTCCATTCACTCCTCCGTTCTCAGCGCTTCGTGACGCAGATAATCTCCATTCACTTCTCGTATGCTCAAGGGCCTCGTGTGACCCAGTACTCCTCCATTCATCCTCGTTGCTCAGCGCCTCGTGACGCCAGATATCTCCACTTACTCATCCTTGCTCAGCGCTCGTGACGCCAGAAACTCCTCACTTCACTCTATCGTTGCATCAGATGCCTCGTGACGCAGTAGACTCCTCAACTTCACTCTTCGTTGCTCAGGCTCGTGACGCAGATAATCCTGCAACTTCACTCTTCCGTTGCTAGCGCCTCGTGATCCAAGATAACTCTCCACTTCACTCTTCCCGTTGCTCAGCGCCTCGTGACGCCAGATAACTCCTCCACTTCACTCTTCCCGTTGCTCAGAGCCTCGTGACGCCAGATAACTCCTCCACTTCACTCTTCCCGTTGCTCAGCGCCTCGTGACGCCAGATAACTCCTCCACTTCACTCTCCCGTTGCTCAGCGCCTCGTGACGCCAGATAAACTCCTCCACTTCACTCTTCCCGTTGCTCAGCGCCTCGTGACGCCTGATAACTCCTCCACTTCACTCCTCCCGTTGCTCAGCGCCTCGTGACGCCAAACTCTTCCACTTCACTCTTCCCGTTCTTCAGCGCCTCGTGACGCCAGATAACTCCTCCACTTCACTCTTCCCGTTGCTCAGCGCCTCGTGACGCCAGATAACTCCTCCACTTCACTCTTCCCGTTGCTCAGCGCCTCGTGACGCCAGATAACTCCTCCACTTCACTCTTCCCGTTGCTCAGGCCTCTTGACGCCAGATAACTCCTCCACTTCACTCTTCCGTTGCTCAGAGCCTCGTGACGCCAGATAACTCCTCCACTTCACTCTCCCGTTTCTCAGCGCCTCGTGACGCCGATAACTCCTCCACTTCACTCCTCCCGTTGCTCAGCGCCTCGTGACGCCAGATAACTCTCCACTTCACTCTTCCCGTTTCTCAGCGCCTCGTGACGCCAGATAACTCCTCCACTTCACTCCTCCCGTTTCTCAGCGCCTCGTGACACCAGATAACTCCTCCACTTCACTCCTCCCGTTGCTCAGCGCCTCGTGACGCCAGATAACTCCTCCACTTCACTCCTCCCGTTTCTCAGCGCCTCGTGACGCCAGATAACTCCTCCACTTCACTCTTCCCGTTGCTCAGCGCCTCGTGACGCCAGATAACTCCTCCACTTCACTCATCCCGTTCCTCAGCGCCTCGTGACGCCAGATAACTCCTCCACTTCACTCATCCCGTTCCTCAGCGCCTCGTGACGCCAAGTAACTCCTCCACTTCACTCTTCCCGTTGCTCAGCGCCTCGTGACGCCAGATAACTCCTCCACTTCACTCTTCCCGTTGCTCAGAGCCTCTTGACGCCAGATAACTCCTCCACTTCACTCTTCCCGTTGCTCAGCGCCTCGTGACGCCAGATAACTCCTCCACTTCACTCTTCCCGTTGCTCAGAGCCTCGTGACGCCAGATAACTCCTCCACTTCACTCCTCCCGTTGCTCAGCGCCTCGTGACGCCAGATAACTCCTCCACTTCACTCCTCCCGTTGCTCAGCGCCTCGTGACGCCAGATAACTCCTCCACTTCACTCTTCCCGTTGCTCAGCGCCTCGTGACGCCAGATAACTCCTCCACTTCACTCATCCCGTTGCTCAGCGCCTCGTGACGCCAGATAACTCTTTCACTTCACTCTTCCCGTTGCTCAGAGCCTCGTGACGCCAGATAACTCTTCCACTTCACTCTTCCCGTTGCTCAGAGCCTCGTGACGCCAGATAACTCCTCCACTTCACTCTTCCCGTTGCTCAGCGCCTCGTGACGCCAGATAACTCCTCCACTTCACTCCTCCCGTTGCTCAGCGCCTCGTGACGCCAGATAACTCCTCCACTTCACTCTTCCCGTTGCTCAGCGCCTCGTGACGCCAGATAACTCCTCCCGTTGCTCAGCGCCTCGTGTAGTTGTCTCGTCGTTCTCCTACCAGGAATTTTGGCTGATTTTAGCCTTTTGACGTAAAGCGTATTTTGAATTTTGTAATTGTAGACCGGACCTTCTGGGTCTTTCTTCAACTCTCGAATGTACCTTTTTTGGGGGGCTTCTTTTGAAGTTCTGATATAGAATGAGTTTTGGATTAGGCACAACTGATATGCAGAATTTTGTAATACTGGCTCTGTTGCATGTGGGTGAATTTATTGTAAAAATTTTCACATATCTTTATTTTTGTAAGGTATTATATTCATTGTTCATATAATAGCACCTTACAACTGGAAGGTACTAAGATGTGTCCCAGGAAGAAGGTAACACAAAGTACTTGAATCAAATCCCGCAATCCACCACTTTTTTTTTTTTTATATTTTTTATATATATTTTTGTTTTGTTTTGCGTTTTGGCGAATTATTATATAATTATATTTATGGGGGAGAGCTAAACCTGTAGGATTATACAACGCGTGTGGGGGTGGGGGGGGGGATGGAAGGTATTCAGGCTAAGTTCAGGGAACTGGAGCACAGATCCAATTCCCTAGATCAAGAGCCCCTCACCAGCGTCAAGGAACCTCCCTTGAGGCGTTCTTTTGGCGAAGTTATTGAGACATTTTAATGAATAATTGAAGTTTTGCAGTGTTTAATGATTATTCATGAGGGAACACTAAACCCATAGGGGTCATACAACACATGGGGAAATGGGAGACTTCCAATTTCGAGCCAAAGTGAAAGGCAGATCCAATTTCTTTGATCACGAGACCCTCCCTTAAGGGATCAATAATAACAGTAGTAGTCTAACATTTAACTACAATGGTGTTCTTAATCTCACAATTAAATAAGATGGATTTTAAAAAAAATATATTTATATAGAAAGAAACATTTATTTGTATCTTAGGTAAAATATACAAGGTATATACAATTGTCAACATTCACACGTAACAACTAAATTAAGATGAGTCTGTATGGGTACAAAGATATCCTCTGGGAGTCAGTGTCTTCGATCTTCTTGCAATAAGGTTCATTTTATTATATCAAGATGAACCTTGCACTGCATGAGTCACTGACAAACTCTCATCGTAAAGGGATCCCATATTTAATCTTTAATCCAATAAAATATTCAACTCTTCAACCTGTCTTAGCAGGGTGAACTGAATAACATTTGAACAGAGAAAATATACAATTCCCATTCTTGTAAATAACTGGAATTAGATATCTATTTTCAACTACAAAACAGGCACTGAACTTCTTATTCCTGAAGCTGTGTATTCATTTTGAAATAGAATGCTCTAGACAGCTACTAAATTTTATATGTAATTCTATTTTTTTCTTTAAATAACAACTTATGCTAATAGAATACCGAGAGATGACTACTCAGTACGAATATTGACACAATGTGTGGGACACCATAACAACAGTGTCTGCACTACACCTTAAAACAAAAAGAAATCTTAAGGAAATTTTTGACACTAAGATTGGGGAGGGTCACTTACTAAGACTGTTTATCAAGACGTGCTAAAAATGTTTTTCAATATTTTTAATGTTTTAAATTTTCGTTATTACTCTGGAAGCAACTCGTTTTGATGGGGCAGAGTTGTGAGAGTACAGTACTCTACTTTACATTTAAGTACTCTGTACAGTAAACAGAGGACAGAGGACAAGACTCACCAGATCATTCATGGTTAAAATAAGTACACATTTACTGGAAAACAATGTGAAGAACATTAAAATGTACACTCAAACAGAAATACAGGGGAAACTTTGGAATGTGAAGTGTTGAAATATCATTAAGAAAAAGCAAAACTGGTGAGAAAAGTTAGAAGACATTAAGACAAGTGTGACTGGGGGTGATCCAGCTTGCTGATGCAACCTAACAACTGCAACAGCAAGTGTTACAGTATATAGACCATGGACGGTTTTATTTTGGCTTAATTCTGCAACTTAAACCCTATATATATATATATGTATATAAAATATTCTACATTTAGGATTGATTTAAGTCTCCAATAATTGCAAATCAAATAAATATCTAAAATTCTATAAAAATTACCAAAGGGATTGAGCTAAAAATAACCGGTATTGAAAGGTAATATCACTGGACTGGGATTTATGGTTTGCTTATATTAATTATTGCAGAGAAGGTTTGAGCTGGCAGGTCAAGGGTCGTGGTGGGAGGAGCAATGTACCAGCTGCAATGTTGGGTAGTACACCAATGTTTCACTGTCGTAGTGAAACAGCCTAGTGCTTCTGTGCTAAGCACACAGGTATGGACTTCTCTCAGTGCCAGGCACAGGCGCTGGCTTCTCTGTGCCAAGTACACAGATGTGTACTTGTCTTTGCCAGGCACATGGATATGTGTGCTTCTCTCAGTGCCAGGCACACAGATGTGGGCTTCTCAGTGCCAGACACACAGGTGAGTACTTCTTAGTGCCAAGCACACAGAGTGCTTCTCCCAGTGTAAACACACATGGCACCAGTGAGAGGACTAGTGCTGGGAGACAAGCATTGATTGGTTATACGAAGGCACTGAGAAGCACACGATTGGTTGAGGTACTGTAGGGGGTGAAGCTAGAAGGAATGGTGGCTCCCTTACGCACATTCATTATTCGGGCACCGAACTGTGGAGGAAATATTTTATATAATTAACCAAAAGAAACAAATACTTCAAGAACAATAATGTAAGAAGAGTCATTTATATAATTTAGAATTAATGGCAATAAAGATGCTAGCTGAACTATCACAATATTTATCTATTCAATTAGAAACGTCACACTATAGTCTCCCATATAAAGGCAATTTGACTTATGCAGTATTTTGCAATGTTCTGATTTTTTAAATACAAATAATCAACATCTTAAGCAAGGTTGGCCGGTTTAAACCAATAATTTAAACCATTTTTAAAATTGATTTCTTTTTAAATTACGCCTTTATTCTTATTTTTTTTTTATTTTTTTGTAGTTTTTTTTATCACCGCTGAAGCTAAAAGTGCTCAAGTCATTCTATTAAATTTTAAGTTGAAATTTGAAGCCATGACCAAGTATAGAAATATACAACGTACTTCATCTTGTTAATTTCTTGCATCTACAATCTTGATGTCATATAACAAGAAGAAAAATTAATTCGCCTGTATTTTAAATTTATATACTGCCTTCATCTCTCTGAACTTGCCCTAAGTTACTCAGCTGCTATTATCATTGGTCAACTTGTAAATTATTGCATAGAAAATTAATTTACATCTTGCATATTCCAATATAAATTGAAGTACTAAATGTAAGATAAATTTTCTGTTTTAATCTTTAATATTAGTAATAAAAAATTGTGCACTAAACATTTTTTAGTATTATTTTTCTCTTGTAATAATTTCAAACATCACAGTCTATTGTTTTTGTTAAAAAGTTCTACTTACGCGCATAAAGTTCCTGCAATAGTTATTATGATCTATTTAACATTAAAAGATGTATGGTTCTATGCAGGGGCTAGATTTATGAGCGGGGTAGAGCTGTTAGGAATGGGGCCATGGATGAATCTGACCTATGAATGGGGTAGTGGATGGAGGCGGCAGTATTGTTGAGGGACTGACTGAACTCACCGCAGTTGCCGAGCCTGTAAGCATGACCTTCAGGGCACGAGTGGCAGCATAGTTGAGGCTTGGCCTTGAAGCCTTCAGAAGACGTGGGGAGGACGAGGGCAATGTTGTCGTAATCAATAAGGGTCATGAAGGCGTTATCCTCAGTGACAGTGAGCACAGCCTCGCGCACCAGATCAATGAAGCCAGACTGGTCGGTGATGTTATAGACTGGGGTGTCGATGGTGACGATCACCTCACTCATCTTGTTGCCCTCATCGTCAAGCTGTTAAGATATACATGCATCAGGAGGTGAATCATGGAAGGAAACAAGATGTAAGACTTACAGAGCACTTCAACCTGAGGTCATTCACACTTCTAGGGAGGGAAGAGGTGCCTCGATCCTGGTTAAGGACTCTTGGTCTAAACAATTAATGCTTCTCCATGACTATAATATTAATCAGGAATTGTTAAAATCAGTTGACCTGTAGCAAGAACAGTCATGAATACACAAAAGCAGATTAGATATCACCAGGGGCAAGATCAACAACATCAGTCTAAATATCAGTACTAACAGCGCTCTTGATCTGCAGGTCACCAATGCCGCACTCCTCAGGGTAGGGACAGAAGATATCATTGTACTTGTAGACGAGACCATCGAACTGATGCTGCAGGGTCTCGATGCTTGCGCGCTTGTAAGCGATCTTGAACTGCAGGTTGGCTGAGAACACAGGCACGATCTCTGTTGGTAAAGAAACACCAGTTTAGTGGGCTATGATGGTGCCAGGTTCTGTTGTGGCTGCTACGATTGTGAGAGACTCCAATTATTAGACACGTATTAATATTCCGAAATAAATTGGAAGAAATTTAAAATAAATTAGAAAAGGAGAATAAAATTATAAACACGATGTATTGTTTATTAACGAAACATATGAAGTATGGTGTAGAGCAAGATTTATTTAAGAGAAAAATCATAATGAAAGATAAAGAAGGAAGAAGTGAGGTGGTGCCCAGACAGGTTAAGAAATGTAGGTCACACTCCACTTACTCGGGCAGTAGAAAAAGAATGGGAGAACTGGTTGATCATGTTCAAAAAAAAAAAAAAAAAATCACGAGAAAGTGGGAAGAGACTTGTGAGCGAGGAGACTGTCATCAGACACTGGTGTGACTAGAGACAAGTATGGAGCAGACTGTGACTGATGACACGCTGCGTAAGTCACTCCATCCCAACACAAGATTAATAATAAAGAGATAAATGGTATAAAATACCGACACGATGGAAAAAGACGAATGCAGTATAATGTGATCCTTTAATGACTACGTTTCGCCCACACAGTGGACTATATAAAGTCACAAACAGATCTACCTGGGCCAAGAATATATATATATACATGTACATGTACATTATATATATATATATATATATATATATATATATATATATATATATATATATATATATATATACATACATACATGTCTGCCTCGGTGGGAGACGACCGACTTGTTGAAAAAAAAAATATATATATATATATATATATATATATTTTTATTAAATATATATTGTGGGTAGTCTGGTGGAGAATGTTGGGTGGGTTGTATCTGAGACGGAGCTACAGGTCAGTCTCGATTCTTTACCAAGGTAGATCTATTTGTGACTTGATAAAAGTCCACTGTGTGGGCGAAACGTAGTCAATGAAGGATCGCATTTGTGTCTTATTTTTCCATTAACAATACAGTTTAATAGTCGTCTCTTAAAGGGGGGAGGGTTCGATATTGATGAATCTGAGCTTCCCTCCCCTTGGATCCAACCTGATTAACTCATCACCCAAGTTATATGACCCTACAGTTTAGTGCTTTCTCATGTATATAATAATAATAAACCCGTGTGAGTCACTGAGAATTAGTAGTGGAAGCTCGATCCTCCATCCATTAATTGCGATTACCATATATAAATACGAGGAATGTGAAGCTGTTTTGAGCCACATGAAGAATGGAGAGGAAAAGTTAGACCGTGTCGCAGTATTACGAAAATATCTGCAGAGGAAAAAGTTGAAAAGTGACATTGCTGTATCTTGGGTATAGCCAGCCAGAAAGGGCCAACCTAAGCCACGCACGCACTAGTAGTCCATTGGGACAATCATTTCGACATTACAGCGAGTCAGAAAGGCTTATATCTTTCCTGGTCTCCTGGTGAGGATAAGTTGGGGGTCGGAGAGACATAGATAAAGGGGTCAGGGGGATGTTGATAAAGAGGTCGGGGACGTAGATAAAAGGTTCAGGGAGGGAGGGTTGGTGTCAAGTAGCGGAGATGGAAGCGTGATGTAACCGAAGGTGTCATACACAACAATGATGGCGCTGACACTATCTCACACACATGACATTACTGATTGATGACACGAGTCATCAATACTTCGATCATTTAGAAATTCTGCATTCACTTTTAAAATGTTGAAATGTATTTTGACACAATTTAGTGAGGGAGGGAGAGAATAGGGAAGTAAGCAAGGACAAAGAGGAAGAGGCAGTGAAAGTAGTGGGTGGGGAAGGATACCAAATATTTGTTTAATGTTAACACAAGCAACATCTTTCATCACTACCACCATCTTCACTCAGGTGTGTAACACAAGCAACATCTTTCATCACTACCACCATCTTCACTCAGGTGTGCAACACAAGCAACATCTTTCATCACTACCAAACCATCTTCACTAAAGGTGTGCAACACAAGCAACATCTTTCATCACTACCACCATCTTCACTCAGGTGTGCAACACAAGCAACATCTTTCATCACTACCACCATCTTCACTCAGGTGTGTAACACAACAACATCTTTCATCACCTACCACCATCTTCACTCAGGTGTGCAACACAAGCAACATCTTTCATCACTACCATCATCTTCACTCAGTGTGCAACACAAGCAACATCTTTCATCACTACCACCATCTTCACTCAGGAGTGTAACACAAGCAACACTTCATCACTACCACCATCTTCACTCAGGTGTGTAACACAAGCAACACTTTCATCACTACCACCATCTTCACTCAGGTGTGCAACACAAGCAACATCTTTCATCACTACCATCATCTTCACTCAGGTGTGCAACACAAGCAACATCTTTCATCACTACCACCATCTTCACTCAGGTGTGCAACACAAGCAACATCTTTCATCACTACCACCATCTTCACTCAGGTGTGCAACACAAGCAACATCTTTCATCACTACCACATCTTCACTCAGGTGTGCAACACAAGCAACATCTTTCATCACTACCACCATCTTCACTCAGGTGTGCAACACAAGCAACATCTTTCATCACTACCACCATCTTCACTCAGGTGTGCAACACAAGCAACATCTTTCATCACTACCATCATCTTCACTCAGGTGTGCAACACAAGCAACATCTTTCATGAATGGAGAAGAATCTATTAGTCTAGTACAGTTTATTAATGTATCTTAGAATAAGCGACAGGAGGTTCCAGCTTCCACCAGTCCTTATGCTGAATGACCCACACGAGTTTAACGCATCTCAAATATACAGTAAGGTACATCTTCACACGGATTAACATACTTAATATATACGGTAATGATAATAATAGTTGAGGTACACCTTCAACGGAGACTTAACATTCATACAGACATTATAATCGTCTCAGGAGTTTTGAAGACGTGTGTATATAAGTCGCAGTCTTGTTTTGCTTGATAATACTTAAAACAATAACTACCAGCGTTTGATCATGGTTTGTTTTTCAAGAAGACTTCAAAATTTATTTTAAAATAAAGAGGAAGTGTGTATTATGCTAATTTCTGACATGTACAAGCTACGGTTTCCCCAGTGTGTGTGTGTGTGTGTGTGTGTGTGTGTGTGTGTGTGTGTGTGTGTGTGTGTGTGTGTGTGTTGTGTGTGTGTGGTGTGGACATTTTTTATTATCTAACGAAATTGGATACATAAAGACTATGCGGGGGGGGGGGGGAGTAAGGGGGGTTGTGGGTAGGGGAGGAGAAGGAATGAAGGAAGGGGGTAGCAATGGAAGAGGTCGTGGTAGGTCACTTGGATACCAAATTTCACTTTGCTCAACTTTACGGGAAAAAGGAAATGAAAGTTGACGTAAACGCAGGAAGAGAGAGAGAGAGAAGGAAAGTGTGGTTAGGTCTCTTGTGAAAGAATGAAATACTGTACGTAGCTTACGGTCATGAAGTCCAGTCTGAGGTTAACTTCACACACACACACACACACACACACACACACACAGTACAGAATACATACTCAAATAGGAAATTAAACATGGGAAATGAGAAAGGGGAATTTTTGTATTTATTCCCCCCCCCCCCCGAGGTGTGAATGTGTGTGTGATGCAGCTGTGTTGGAGGAACTGAGGCCAAGGTAAGAGTGGTTGCTTCAACACTACCATCAAACACTAACTGAATAAAACATTGTAATGTTTGGTTTAAGGTCTATGCAACGCACGTGAGTCATCAAGGTTGCAATCCACATATACGAGTACAACAATATACAATAATACGTTATTCATCAAACTGTGGATTAAAAAGTCAGGTATATATCAGTATATATCATATACTGTTGTTATTGATATTTGTGGTGAGGGTGTGTGGTTATAATGGAAGAGCCTGGGGGGGGGGGGTTGTGTAAGGGACACAAGACTTTAATGTACACTTGACGAGCCATTAAGTTCATTCTTGTCAGAGTCGAGCTGGTCGACCAGGAGGGAGCAAACTGGTTCATGATTATTGTCTCAATTACTG